ACCCTGGTGCAGGTGTGCAGCGGTCAGTGGAAGAATCCGCGAGTTTCTCTGTGTTTCCCATTACGTCGTAGCTACTCGGTGCTTGTTTGGAAGTTTAGGGGTTTTTCGCTGTAAAAAGAAGTTTTCTTCCCACGCACAACGGACACTAATGTTTTTGTCACTTTTTATGGAATCAAACTCAAAGTAAGGTCAGTACTTCCACGCTTTAAACGCTGCACGCTCATACTCTCTCTGCACTCGATATATGATCCATTGTTGATCTGCACACAGCTGTTGTCACGAACGTCGCACTCGCTTACGTCACTGTCATGAGACATTCTCGCAAAAAATCACGGTTTTAGTAACGCAGTAACGCAGCGTTCCTACGGGAAAGTAACGGTAATCTAATTACCGTTTTTGCAATAGTAATCCCTTACTTTACTTGTTACTTGAAAAAAGTAATCGGATTACAGTAACGCGTTACAAGTATGGGCAGTAACGCGTTACTTGTAACGCGTTACTGCCCATCTCTGTTCATGATGATAATGAATTATAATAGTTAAACCTACAAGTAATAAGTAGTTTCTCAGCATCACACTGAGACAGGGTGTTTCTAATTTTAATGCAAATGCAAGAAAGCAGTCCAACATATTTGTCTAATGTGCACAGTGAAGGACATATCCTGGTCAAAACCGACTCCCAGATTCATCACAGTGTTACTGGAGGCAAAGGTCGTTCCACCCAGGGAAGGTATCTGTTTAGACTCCATGTTTCTACGATTCTTAGGGCTGAGTACAATGACCTTTGATCTGAACTCAGAAGCAGAAAATTAGAGGTCGTTTATGCAACTAACTGGTGCATCGTTTGGCTTATAATGCAATGAAAATTTATGCTCTGCATAAATACTGCCTTATAGGGGGAGCAATGTAATTGGTCCTAACACTGAACCCTGTGGAACTCCATTATTAACCTTAGTTTGTGAACAAGCTGCAGTCTATTAGACAGATATGATTCAAACCACTGAGTGCAGTGCCTTTAATGCCTACAGCGTGCTCTAATTACTGTATTAAAGTATTATGTTTAACTGCTGTCATAGGGACATAAAGCTGTGTGTCATCTGCATAGCTGAGTGATGCGGCTGAGAGAAAGCATGTATATACCGCGACTTCATGCGTCTTAATTTCTCAGCTGGAGATAGCCTGAGGTGGTGTAAGACTAAGCTGTGCTGGTGCAGAGGGAACTGGGATCGCCCCATCTCGTTAAATCAGCAACCTGACCTTTGCCCTGACTGTGGCCACACAGGAAACATGGAAGCACACGCCAGCATTGATATATATGAACTCACACATGGACAGTGAGAGACTCACACACGTAATATATCACTGACATCACTGTGGTAATAACAAAGATGACCCCAATCATCAGAAGGAGAAAAGAAGGGAAACTGTGGCCCGCTGCCTTTGCCGAGGCTACATTTTATTGTTGGCCTCGATCGTGCCCTCCCGATGACACGGCATTGGAGCTTGATCACCTATAATAGAGTCC